GCTGCGGAAGACAATATTAGTAGATTCATAGGTTCATTATTAGATGAATTCTCGAGGCAGTGTGTAGATTAAATACCTGGGGGTGGGGATGGACAATGTATGAACTAAATAGAACATAGTGAAAAGGTCTCATTTCTCTGTACCTGGAGCCCTAGGAGATGGGAGAGTGGAACAGTAACAAGTATTACTAGAAAAGGAATAGCCAGAAGTTACTTAAAAATAAATAGTTATGGTTAACTCAGTGAACCTGAAGCAGGATAAAGGAAATTTAGTGTACTTCAATCAGGTATAGCATTACCAAAGTATAAAAGTCAAGCCAAATAAATAGCCCTAGGGAGTTGGTATATACTTGCCTGTTCCTCACTGCATATGGAAGCTGGAAATAAGTGAAAGATCTTCATTATGTTTTTATTTATTTATATATATGTATGTGTATGGACACACATGGAAAGATCAGAGGACAACCTGTAGGAGTTAGCTCTCTCTACTACAACCTGTAGGAGTGAGCTCCAACTCAAGTCACCAGACTTAGTAGCAAAGCACCCTTACCCATTAAGCCACCCCTGCCCAGAATTGTCTTTAAAGTGCTTAGGGGGAAATTGTTGACTTACCACATTTATGGTACATCTAAAAATATATTCAATGGGGCTAGAGAGATGGTTCAGTGATTAAGAGCACTCAATACTCTTCAAGAGGACCTGGATTCCATTCCCATCACCCACATGGTGACTCACAACTGCCCATAACTTTAGTTACAGGGGAGCCAGTGTCCTTTTCTGGAGTCTGTGCATGTGGTACACAGGCATAGATACAGACAAAACCACCCACACACTTAGAATAAAAATAAATCTTTAGAAAGTAAGATAAATTCCATGATGGTAACACAAAGGTCACAGGGTATGAAACAGTAGTAGGTAGATAGTTCTGAGTTTCTGTTAATATGTAGAGATTATAGAAGTACTTATTTAAAGTAAAGCATAAGCCCCAGAGAAGCTTATTGCAATTCCAGTAGAGTGTGATTCAGTGGTAGACGACTATGTGGAGTGTAGAGTGCTCACTTAGCGTGCCCTAGGCCATGATCTGATCCCTAGCACAAAAACAATCCACTAAAATGTAATGATGAACAGTGCTTGCTTAATCAAAATATAAAGAGGACCAAGGAATAGATGGGACAAACAGCAAGTAAATGGGATGGTAAACCTGGCAGTAAGTGCACTAAATATTCCAGTTAAAAGACAAAACCAGGTCTTAAATATATGCATCAGTGCCAAACCTCTAGTACACCCCTATCACTCCTCATATTCCTTTTGAAGCAGTGTCTCTCCCTGGAACTAGAAAAAAACATTTTTTTTTCCCTTGGCCAGGCTAGAACTAACAAACCCCAGAAATCCTTCTGTATCTGCCTCACCACCCATCCCTGCCCTTGAAGCTGACATCACAGGTATGCATTGGCCACCTAGTTTATTACATGAATGCTGGAATCCCAACTGTGAATGGTCCTCATGACTTTGTAGTGCTCTTAACCACTGAGCTGTCTTTCCAGCCCCTATAGTACTATTTTTAAGAGATACACTTTAAATACATAAGCTGTATAAAATGATTAAAATTCAGAGGGTGGAAAGAGACATACTATGCAAAATATTAGCCAAAAGAAAACCTGTGCAGCTGTGGACAAGAAATATTACTAGAGACAAAATATCGTTGAATGATAAAAGTGTCAGTTGAATAGGGAAACATAAAAATCCAAACAGGTATAACTAATTACATATCTGTAAATATACATTAATAAACATTTAAATAAGCAGAATATAAACAATTTACAGATTTTATTTTGGCAGGAAAGTGCCAGGGATTGGACCTAGGACCGTGTATGCACTTAGCCAGCACTCTACCACTGAGCTACCACTCCAGCCCCCAGATTCCAGGCTTCTAAAAAGGAAAAGAGAATATATTGTCCATCTTTGATTATTGAAGAGGATTAACATGTAGCACCAACAGTTTCTATTTGCTACTATAATTTTAGCAAAATAGCCTCAACAAATGTAAGCAATAATTAAATACTTCATTGACAGAAAGCAAAGCCATTACAGTCGGTTTTAAGTATTAAGTGTTAGAGGTCTATCTTTTTATTAAAAAGCAGGTATGAAAGAATTGACTTCCTGCCATGCTCCGGAGTTATATCTTACTCAGCGTCTTAGAAATGATTGTAGGAAATGGTTATCTTTCTGAAGACTGAGTGGAGGCCATTTCTGCCATGCCTTGCTTTTCAATATGTTGGCATAAAAACTTTCATGAGTTCTGATTATCAGAAAATTCTGAAGGATCAAATCTTGAATGAAACAGTTGTTAGGAATTAGGACTGAAGTATAGTTCAAAGGTAGAGCATGTGTTTAGTATACATAAGACCCTGGGTTCAGAGATTGGAGAGACAGCTTAGTGGTTAAGAGTGCATTGTTCTGGTAGAGAACTGGAGCTCAGATCCCAGCTCCCACATCTTACAAGTTGCTGCTGCTTGTAACTTCAGCTCCAGGAGTTCCAGTGTCTCCTTCTGTACTCTGCAAGATCTTGTTCTCTTCCTCATTTCTTCTCCCTCTCCCTTCCCTCTCCCTGTTCCCCCACTTCTCTCTCTCTCTCTCTCTCTCTCTCTCTCTCTCTCTCTCT